CACACTCACACACACACACACACACACACACACACACGGTGGAATACTATTCAGCCTTAAAAAAGATGTTATGGTATCATTTGTGACCGCACAGATGAATCTGGAAGACAAACCAAGCACAGAAGGACAAATACTTCAGGATCTCAGAGCAGTAGAGAGTGGAACCGTGGTTTTTAGAGGGGGTGGGGGAGGGGGGATGGTCCACAGGTACAAGGTGGCCGTTGGATGGGGGAATAAGTCCCCATGTTCTATTGTGCAGCCAGGGGAGTCCTCCTGCCTCCCCAGCCCCAGAGAATCCACGGTTTGGTTCAAAATAGCTGAAGCACAAGGAGGTGGCAACCGTTCGAGGTGGTGGCTGTGCTAATGGCCCACACGTGGCCAGCACCCCTTGTTTCCGTGGGTTGAAACAGCATGTGGTGCCCCACAGACATACACAGTTGAATGTCCCCAAACCTCAGCAGGATTGAAAAATAAAAGCCTTGGCACTAACGAGAGGCTGTGAGAAGTCCCCTCGTCTCCGGTTCCCGCTGAATCACGAGGGGGAAGTGGCCTTGTGTGACCTCAACTGGGGACGCACCTGTGGCCCTCAGGATTCTCACCACTCTGCGCGTGTCCCACAGTGATCACGGGAGACCTCGAATGTGGAGCTGGGGTTACGAGGGGGCTGGCTGGGGAGGCAGAGTCACAGATCCAGACACCGTGAACAGGGCGGAGGCGGGACGGCGAGCAGACCCTGCAGCGCAGCCACCAGCCTGGCCCAGGGACGCACGCGGCCGCTCCTGGCACCCCACGGTATCTGTGGGATTTTCAGACCAGGACTCAGAGTACACGACACGGGCCAACGCGCTCTCCTGTCCTCCTCCTTGGTCTCCCAAGGCCATGGCTGCTGCTTCCTGGGCCCCTCGCGTCCCCCTGCCCTGCACCCTTCAGAGACTTCCAAAGTCACGAAGTCATCTCAAATAATGTCTTAAGATCCACGCAGGAGCAAGGAGGGCCCCAGCAGGCTGCCCTGGCCAGGTCACATGGAGAAGCTTGGGTTCTGGGCGGTCCCTTGGAAAACGACGTTGTTGGAGACTGGAATTTTCTCCCTGGAGATTTTCAAACCTATAAATCAAATGAAATCTGTGCCTACGGTTTAAAAAACTAAACCGCAAAGAAAGGCCGGGTAGCCGTGCAGCCTCCTCCCCAAACACGCCATGTTAGTGATCTGGGGGACTCGGTCGGTCATTCTTTCATGAGCTCTGGGGACAGTTGAATCACATTCGTAGGGGAGTCTGTGTCCCCTCTTCCCACTTAGCCTGGCATCGCAGTTCACGGAGCCCGCGGTTCCGACAGCCGCGTGCTTGCTGTTGACGGCCACGGCCTTTGCTGACCCTCTGCTGTCGGCTCTGTGTCCGGCTCCCTGACTCTGGATGGCCCTGCAGTCGACCTGTCTTCCTCCCCGAAGCCAGTCCCTACCTGGGTTAGCCCAGATGGTCACAAGTGGAGGTACGCGTCCTTGGGTAGGGACATTTCTAGGGCTCCTGGTCGTGTCGCCTGGTCACTGAGAGCCTGGGAGCTCACCATCGGGGGTCCTCTGCAGCGTGGGGTCCTCCTCTTTGAATCTTTGCTGATTTTAAGGGAGACCCAGAATCTGCCCCACGGTGCATCCGCCTTCGCTCTCCAGGCCAGGCTTCGTGCTGTCTGCACACATGTAGGCGGTGAGAAATCCGTCGTAGGGGGCTGGAGTTGTGACTCAGCGTTTCTTCATCTGTCTGTCCGTCTGTCTCTCTCCATCCCCTGCTCATCCTGTGAAAATGTGAAAAACTGGACTTAACTGGCCAAGTTTTTTGCTAAAATGCTGAGCAAGGCTTCTCTCACCTAGCATGTGTGAGGCCCTGGGTTCGATCCTCAGCACCACATAAAAATAAATAAATAAAGTAACAATCTACAGATAAGAAAACAAATAAACAAATATTTTTAAAGGATCCATCGTATCGACATGCAGTTGTCTTTTTCCCCCAGTATTTCTTTTGGGTACCAGGGATTGGACTCAGGAGCACTCGACCACTGAGCCACATCCCCTGCCCTGTTTTGTATTTTATTTAGAGACAGGGTCTCACTGAGTTGCTTAGGGCCTCACTTTGGCTAAGGCTGGCTTTGATCTCACCATCCTCCTGCCTCAGCCTCCCGAGCCTCTGAGATTACAGGTGTGCCACCACACCCAGCCACTCCCCCAATATTTCTTGAAAGCGTATTTCCTATCCAAAGTTTCAGTCGGATGTCCTTATTTACTTATTCTTCTTCTGTTTCTTTGTCTTGTCTGTCTGTCCATCTGTCTCTCTCCATCCCCTGCTCCATCCTGTGGAACTGCAGCTCTTGAGGATGACAATCGCCAAACAGAGGCTTGGGGACGAAGAGATTGGCGTACGGCACTTTGCAGCCCACGAGCGTGAAGATTTGGTGCAGCAGCTGGAGCGGGCTAAGGAGCAGGTGAGGGCTGGCCTCTGTGAGGGCGGGGGACGGGTGGGCACAGGGGGACACGGTGCAGGGAAGAGCAGCTGGGCTCTCCTCCGTGCTGCTCCATGCTCCCGGGCTCTGGGTTCTGGCTCATGGGGGGATGCCCCCGATGCTCGACGCCTCTGTTCTGAACACAGGCAACTCTGCCCCTTCCCAGGACAGACCACGAGGGGAGAAAATGTGAAAAACTGAACAGAATCAGCCAAGTTTTCACTAAAATACTGAGCGAGGCTTCTCTTGGCAGAACCTCCTCGGGTACAGGGCCCTGGGTGGGGAGCAGCCCAGGGCCCCGACAGCTCTGCCCTCTTACTAAGTGGTTCTGAGGAGCCGCTGTGGCCAGCGTCCAGCTCAGCCTCTCTGAGCTGAGGCCGGAGGGCCTGCTGCAGGTGGGGGACCTGCTTCTGCTCTTCCAGGCTGCCCTGCCCAGTTGTCTCAGGGACAGTGATGCCGGCCAGAAGGGCGGCCCCTGCTTCTGCCTGTCCCTGGGCCTTGCCTGTGGCTTCACAGCATGTGGGTCAGGAAGCCCGAGGGGCCAAGGCGGTGGGTCCTGAGGGCGGCTCCGGCCTGGGTTCCAGATCGAGTCCCTGGAGCAGGACCTGCAGGCCTCGGTGGACGAGCTCCAGGACGTGAAGGACGAGCGGGCTTCCTACCAGAACAAGGTGCAGCGGCTGAACCAGGAGCTCAACCACATCCTGGGCGGCCACGAGAACCGCATCATCGACGTGGACGCTCTGTGCATGGAAAACAGGCAAGAGCCGCGGGGGCCAGCGGGAAGCCCCTGAGGCATCTGAGAAAATTGCCTTAGAGCGGAAAGGAAGTCACAACCTCAAAATGACACCAGTGTCACACACTAGCGGTAAAGGTCAGAGGCGCCACACCTGCACATCCCTCTCCCTCTTCCCCGCACCCGCCCCGTTGGGCCAGAGGGTGAGGAGCCAGCCCCGCTCCGTGTGACTGCTGTCGGGGGAAGGAGGAGAATGAGAAAATAAATTGAGAAATTCCCTCAGCTGTTTCTCTCCCCCGAGGCCAACTTCAGAGTGTGCGTGTGTCTGACTTCACGTGGGGCCTGGTGTCGCCCCTTCCCCCCAGAGGAGCCCTCTTAATGAGAACTCGGTGGACACTGTGCCCGGTCCCTGAGGGGACCTCGGCCAGGCCTGCGTAGAGCAGGGTGTCTGTGATTTGGGCGTGTTTGACCTTGATCGCATCCACTTAAGAGAAGGGCACGAAGACGCACGTTTTCCTCCCGCTCCTTTCTGAGATGAGAGCGAGCCTGGCGTGCAAAGTGGCCCCGGCTGGCAGGTGATTGCCACTGCTTCCTCTCGTGCTTTAGTGTGGGCTTGGCGTGGTCCCCAGACACATCCTGACTGTGGATGTTCCTTTCCAGGTACCTTCAAGAGAGACTAAAGCAACTCCACGAAGAGGTGAACCTCCTGAAATCCAACATTGCCAAATACAAGGTACTGAATCACCACCACCGTGCGGTCCGCTGTTGACCCCTGAAGGTCACCCGTTTCAATCCCTCTCAGGAGCTGCAGGCATAGAGCTTTACCTGGGGGGAGCTCTACCTGGGGGGGCGCTTTCCTAGGATAACCAGTAACAACCTCCAAACAGCAAAGGCCACCAAAGTGGTGTCTGCCCTTTGTTGCTGAAGTCTTGTCAGGGAACACTGAACCCCCAAATCCGGTGATTTGTACTCTTGGCCCCAGTCCATATGAAATTAGGGCTCCTGCCTATTTTCTTGTAATATCCCCTGTCGTTAGATGCTATTTGCCTCATAATCAGGCATAAGAAAATGATCTCCAAGGGACAGAGGAACAACGGGGGGGGAGAAATCGCAGTCCAACGACCATGTTCACGTCACAGTGAAAAGACAGAAGGTCTGAATTCTCCCCATCGTTATTTAGTCTAATTCTAGCACCATTAGTTTGATAATATCTATTTCTGCAGATGTTGGTTCTAAGTGTTATAATTAGAAAAACCTCCTGGGTTTCTCTGCTTTGAAAATAGATTGATTTCTCTTCCTGAGGGTGAAGTGCTGCAGCCATCTAGATGTTTGGGAGAGCCCACTCATGGTCCTGGTGGTTGGCTTTAGCTTTTGTTTGCAGAAATCGCCAAGCTGCTCCATTCTGTGGGGCCACACTTAGGTTTACACTGATCTATACAAACACGTGCAGCCAGAGAAATATGCATCTTTTAATGCATGATTTTAAAAAATGTGTGGATGCATTTATTTAACATATATTCTTTTCTATGTGCCAAGCCCTGATTATATATTGCACATGAATTTTAATGCAAGAGTCTGTTTTAAGAAGGTCGCGTAGGTGGCACGGATGCCCTGCTTTAACCTGTGTCCATGGCAGACATCACTAATCAACTGTGGCTCTCTTTCCAACCCAGGGCCCAGATCCTTCCAGAGACCCCCTTTTTGCTGCATGAAAATAAACTTCTTCTGTTTCATGTCTCTTTAAAAGGGATTTCCATAACATAAGCACGATAGACTGTGTTCTTGTTTCAGATTTAATCTAATTTAATGAATATGCAGCGAGCACCTTTTGAATGTAGGGGGCAACTTTTTAAAAAAACTCTTTACTGGATCCATAAAATCATAACTCTTTGGCAAGGACTGAGAATTCTGTGTTTTAGGCTGGCATTCGGAGCTTGCAGGGGGCCCTCGTGTGCCAAGGGGAAATGCCTCTCCTGTGTTTTCCTTCATTGAGTTTCCTGACCAAGGTTTTGTTTTCTCCCCATACTGCTCTAGAACGCTCTTGAGAGACGGAAAAACTCAAAGGGCCAGGGCAAATCCAGCAGCAGCGCTCTGACCGGAGTCCTGTCTGCGAAGCAAGGTAGGACCTCGTGCCCCGGGTGGGACAACTTATGAACGTGGCACGCCGGAGCTCGGGCCCACGTGGCATCCAAGCTGCTGGTTTTGTGGGCTGGAAAGCAAGGCCACCCCAAGAGCAGCGGTTCCCAAACCCCCACCTGCATCAGGATCCCCCGCAGTTCTTGTTAACACAGAGTGCCAGGCCCACCCAGAGGTCCCCAGTCAGTAGGTCTGGGGAGGGGGCCTGAGAATACCTGTGTTCCCAGGTGCACTGCGGCTGCCCTGGGGCCCCACTTTGGGAACCACTGCACTAGAGGTCTTCCTGATACCTGTGCCCCACACGGCGCTCTGCCTTTAGGGAGGCTTTTCCTCCCCTCATCGCAGCCGAGCACCTGTCTCCAAGATGTGCTTGAACCTCCTGGAGCGTCTCCTTTCCTGGCCTCTGCGATCAGAATGGAAAGCCCGTAGCCGCTGAAGTTGTTCTATCTTGGAACACGTGCCTCTTTCAAAGCAGCGCATATTGATTGCAATTTTGTTCTTCCTTCTCGTCAATTCCTATGAAAAATAATGATCTCCCAGGAACAGTCCAGGGGAATAAATAGCAGAGAGCTTGCGTCTGACACTCAATATTTGGAATTCAGTTCTAAACATAAGCCTCAAGTGGCTCAGTGGCCCACTCTGGGCCGTTGACGGTGCCCACCGTACCTACGTGTGGCCGTCCTGATCAGAGCCACAGAGGCTGAAACAGACGTGCCAGGTCTCCAGCTCCCAGCAGCCAGGGCTCTGCACCAGGCAACTTCTGTTTGTCCACTCCACGGGGGAAGAACACCCTAGAATGTTTTTTAGAAGAAAACAATGATATTCTCTACAAACATGCAGTAGCCCATCTGTGTAGCTCTGGCTACCATAAATAGCAACCTGGCATTGAGTGTGGGTTCCCAGTGTGGTCCTGGATGGCGTCACCAGCCACCCCTCACACGGTGACAGATCTCTAAGTCTGACTCAACCCTTCCAGAAAACCCCCATGAAAAGCTTATCAACAGTGATCTTTGGCATCCATAATCAAAGCCTACACATCTACAGCAAAGCACTGTGAAAAGCCAAAACTGATCCCCCTTTGAACCAGCAAGAAATAATCACAGACACATGCAAACATTTGTTGCAAGAAAGTTCTTCACTAGTTATAAAAAAAAATTGTAAACATCAAATATCAAATAGTAGTTAAATAAATTAGCATATATCGTTATATGGACTACTAAAACAGCCATTAAGTTTTATGTTTTAGGGGATGTTAATGTTGTAGAATATCGTTAAGTAGAAAAATCAAGACTTTTCCCCATTTTTGAAGGAAAAAAAATTGTATATTTATTTACATATAGTCACATATATTTACATATAGTTACATATTATCACATAGATTTACATATAGTCACATAGGAACAATATTCAAAGATACATAATCAGAGATTTATATTGTTTCTTCTATCTGGAAGGAGATCCAGTGTCCTTGTTTTACATCATCTCTGTTTAACTACCCTTTCTAAAAATAAGGGTGGGATAATGCAAGATGCAAAAACTCCAATCCAGGCTCCATGAAACATGCCTATGATCCCAGTGACTTAGGAGGCTGAGGCAGGAGGATTGCAAGTTCAAGCCAGCCTCAGCAACTTAGTGAGGCCCTAAGCAACTTGGTGAGACCCTGTCTCAAAATTAAATAAACAAATAAATGCCAGGGGTGCACCTCAGTGGTAGCGAACCTGTGTTCAATCCCCAGTACCCCGCCCCCCAAAATATGCAAACCAAACTTGAAGAATAGACACTCAGAGTAAGAAAGGACCCGTATGCAGAAGCCTCTCAATGACCCTAGGGTAGCAGAGGCAGAGTTCCACGTGTAGATCAGGTTCATGTTGTGGGAGGGGCTCATGGTTTCTGACATTTAAGTCACTTTGAGCCCAGCCCAACATAAATGGGGAAGCAGAGTTTTAGCACATCCCTATGAAAAAGTCGTAGAAAGTTTAGCGAATGATATTCACGAGTTATTCATTGGGGTGTTTTGTTGCCAGAGATGCTAATGAAATCTTTATTGTATTAACACAAGTATGATCTTTGCCATAAAGGAAGCAGTGGGCCTACTTTTCACTAAACTAATCATCCCATACCTGGGATCTCCCATTATATAGTGATAACTAGCGTGAAGACAAATCAGAAATGATTTTTTTCAACAGACACTTCTGCAGCTAACACAAAAAGCCAGAGCATTTCCTATCAGCGACATTTATAGGCTCCTGGGAATTTGTCAACAGGGACTCCTCATCCAGGGCAGGGGTGCAGAAGAGATGGGCCCCTTCATGGGGGTCGGAACCCTGCAGGCACACTGGCCTGTGTGGGCCTTGGCTTCATGCTGAACTTGGCCATGAGCGTGGCTTGGCATTTAGTGGAGCAAGGAGCATCCAGGAGCAGCGAGTCTGTGGCCATCTCTTCCCCAGCACTCAGGCACTTGCAGTCTGCTGTGCAGTTCCTCACCGTATCTTTGGACCACTTCATGCTATCATTGGCTGAGTATTTTTCTTTGAAGCAGTTTAACATGACTCGTTCCACTTGGGCTTGTCTTCAGTAGTAGCATCTGTGATTGATAAAATCACTCAGTTGTTATGCCACTTATTTTCTTTCCTACAATACCTTCAAATAGCCAAGTAGCCACCCAAACACACACAAAAAACTCTTTTGCGATCCAAATCACCTCCTGCATTATCTGACCACCTGCCAGGGGTATCGCACTATCCGAGTACAAACAAGGAGCTCAGGGGTAGGAGTCGTTGTCACGTGTGTGGCCGCGTGACCTTTAGCCAATGTGTCTAACCCATCTGTGCCTTGCTTTCCTGTCCATGAAATGGAAATGCATATTACCTTTTTTTCAATTTTAGATCTCAGTGAGTTAGCCTGCAAGTGTCTAACATACTAGGCAAATGCAAATAGTATTATCTTCTTTCAAATTGCAGATGAAAGTCCATTATCACCTGTGGGTTTTATGTTGTTTTACTCTTGACAATCGAGGTGAACCTTCGGTGCAGTAGAGCAGCAGTTCAAAGCTGGGAACCTTCCGTTCGTTCTCCAGGAGGGGTTGACCTGGGTGTGCAGTCCAGCGTTCTCGAAGAACTTACCCCAAGTTGTCCATTTCATGCCCTACCTAGTTCAGGACCTGCTCTCCGAGGACCACGGATGCAGTCTCCCCGCTACTCCGCAGTCCATTTCTGACCTGAAATCTCTGGCAACCGCCCTGTTGGAGACGATCCACGAGAAAAACATGGTCATCCAGCACCAGAGGCAAACCAACAAGTAGGTGGCAGGGCCCTGGGGTGGGGCTGGGAGGGAAGAGATGGGAGGAAGTGACCAGAAATGAAGGGCAGCCAGGGAGAAGTTCAAGGTGACATCCCTCAAGCTTCTGTGCTCTGCTTTGTGCCTGCCTCTGGGCCATCTGCTGGAGCTGAGCAGGGCCCTAAGGCTGGGCGTAGCTTGCTGAGCTTGCCCCGAGGCACACACTGAGGAATGTGTATTTCGTGATTTCTGCCTGGGTGGCTTAACCTACTGCTCCTCTGGGTCTTCTTTTGGTGGGGGGACTCAGTGCCCCTCACAGTGTGACTTGGAGGGGCTCTGACTGGCAGGAGCCGTCAACTGCAGGCAGCTGGACCTGTGAGGAAGTCTCATGTCACTCTTCCAAATAAGCAAAAGAAATGGTGAAAAGGAACAACAAATAAAACAGAACGTCTCGTTTGGTTTTTATAGCACGTTGCCTCTTGTCATATAAAATCAAGCAAGTTACAGTAGGTTAGAATAACAATTAGAAGTGACAGAGCAAAATCGAAAGTGTTCAGAGAATGGTAAAGAAAAGCAATAAATTAAAGCAATAAATATCACACACATTAGTCTGTTCTCTGTTGCTGTAATTGAATACCTGAGACTGGGTAATTTATAGAAAAAAAAAAACATTTCTCATAGTTCAGGAGACCAGTAAGTCCAAGAACACAGAACTGGCACCCAGGGAGGGCCATCCTGCTACATTATAACATGACAAGGGCATCACAAGGTGAGACAGAGCAAGGATGCCAGCTTGAGTCTCTATTATAAAGCCACTAATGTCATCACGGGTCCCCACCCCCATGACTTTATCTAGTCCTAATAATTTTCCAGAGGCCCTACCTCTGATACCACTAGCATATAAACTTGCAGATTAAGTTTCCTACATATGAACTATGGGGAGCATATTCAAAACCTAGGAGGGCCCCCTTCCTGGCACACAGCCTATCCTAAGAAGGGCCTGACTCGTGACCCTTCTGTTCCTCTGTCACCATCTTGAAATTCTTTTTTTTTAAATCGGCATGGCTCATGTTTTTATTTTGCACACAGCTCTGCAAATTCTGTTTCTGGGTCCTGCTCACAAGACCTGCACTCAGAACCAGAATGGAGTGTGGAGGAGCCCAGCAGGGAGTGGAAAGACAGGCTGCAAGCGAGAAGGGGAGGGAGAAGGGGAGGGATCCAGCACTGGGGGATGGCAAAGGCCGCTGGGGCCGGAGGGGGTGGGGGGGGAGTCAGGTGGGAAAATAAATAAGACCATTGTAAAAACAAGATAGGAGAAGGAGAAGGTGAAGCCCAGGGAAGACTGCGCAAGAGATTAAGATGTGTGCGGAAGGAAGCAGAGATCTAGGGGGTGACCATCGGACTTTTGCAACATTCTTGCAAAATGAAACCTTTGCCAAGGGACGAAACATACTGATGTGACCTGGGGACACTTCCCAGGGAGCAACAGGAGTTGGCATCTGTGGGACCCTGACAGGTCTGTCCCATCCCTTCAGGAAGCCCGAGCACGCAGTGAGCCTGCTCTGTTCTCCTGCCCACTGAGCCCCTCCTGGGAGCTCTGGGGTGCTTCCCAACCCCCTCAGGTCCTCCAGACCCCGATCTGCAGCAGTCAGTCCCTCCACCTGCCCCACCCTTCAGCCAGTGTCCCTGCCTCCCCTCCTCCCGTCACACGCCACCTGTCACCTTGTGGTCCACACCATCACTTTGCTCTGGGGGCTGTGCTCTCCTGGCCTCCTCTGTCTGGCTCTTCACCTTCCTTCCCCCGGTGGCCCTCTGCCCTTTCACCCTGGACCCCAGAGCCTCTCCCCAACCTGGGCCTTCCCAGGAATCCCACTCCCCTGGGACCGTTGTGAAGAAGGCCTCCCGTGCTCTGCACCGGCCACCCCTCCAGTGTGTCCCGGGAGCTGGCCTGTGGTGGAGGTCCCTGGGAGGGCACTGGACCTTGACCAGGAAGGCGGGATCCGGGGGCCGGTGGGAGGCAGGTCAGGGCTCTGGGTTCCAGCCCCAGGGGAGTCCTGTGCGGGAAGAGAGGGAACCCTGGCTCACCCGCCTCCCGGCTGTCATTTTCTTTGATGGTCACTCACTGTTTCCTGAGTAGACAGCACCCTGATTCCTCTAATCAGATGCCCATCTCCAACCACGTCGTCCTTGGGTGCCAAGGTGCCAGCTCGAACCTTCTCTGGGGTCTCCTTCGCTTTTCCTCCGCTCATCCCCCTGCCCCGGGTCTCCCACCCCAGTCTCCTGTTCTTACCACCCTCCCCACGAGCTCGTGCCCTGTCTCTCTGCCTCTCATTCTCTCTCATTGACTCTTGTCAGATCCTTGTCCCCACAAACCCATCAAGGGCAGTCCCCTGTTTCCAGTTGCTAGGTTCACGGTTTCTCCTTCCTGCTCCTCTCACCCAGCAAATCGAGATCCTCACACTCCAGCTGTACCCCACCCCCACCCCCTGCTGCACCCCTCCCCCAGGAACACTGCCAATCAGAGTTCTGAGCCCCCGCTCAGCCACCGAGGTCAAGCTGGGCTGAGTGCCCTGCCTGCCAGAGTCAGCCTTTCAAGGCCACCAGCCTGACCCTTCTGCAGAGGACTCCAGCGTCTTCTGGCAGATTCGTTTGCCCACACCCGGGCAGCCACATCCCCAGGTTCCAGCACTTCCTCCTCGGCCAAGAGAGACTGCGTTTCCCTTTGGCCATGTTGGTGGGTCTTCAAGCACCTTTGCCTGTTTAACTGTTTTTTATTCATTTTTGAGCCATCCGTGGTTAAATAACAATGGATCTCCAAACTTCTCTCAGCTGCCCAAATCCCCTTCCTGGGAGAAACGCCGGATCCTAATTTCTTATGCTTTCAAAGGACACATAACAAAGGCAAATGCAAAATGCACATATATACACACACATAAATATTCATGTGTTTATAGAAAAATGGTGAACAATGGTAGCTAGTGTTCACCACAAAGAGGTTTTGTTTCCGTTGCTCTGCATCGTGCCTTCTCCCTTTAAGAAGAGATCCTAGAGATGCTTCCTATCAGTCCAAGAGGTGCCTAATGTGCCTTTTTTAACACTTAGACGGTCTTAAGTTTCATATTTTCATTGTTTTATTTGGGGGCATGTAAGGAAATTAATCACAGATGAAGGGCTAAGGATAGAATAGAATCTGGATTTGGCCTGTTTGCTGTGATCCCACGTGATTTTGCCTTCTGCACTGAAGTGACCAGAGAGCTGTGTTGGGTGGAGCCCCGTGGGCAGGACGGAGGGACCCCTTTCTGGAAGAGTGTGCTCCCCCCTCTGGTTTTCCGGTTTGGCTTGACAGTTGTCCTCTGCAGGGAGAAGATGCCGCGGGAGCCATCCTGAAGCACACTGGCAAACATGGAGTAACTGACATTCAGTTAATGGACAGTTTGTTTGAGGTTTTTCCTGCCAACGCGTTGGCGGTTGTGTGGTTGGTTGATCTAAGGAGCAGGTGGTGGCACGCTAGTAAGAGCGGCTGTTGTCACTGCTCCTGTCCACTGAACAGCACCGCTAGTGCCCCTGCCCTTCCCCAGAAGCCACAGAGGTTCAAAGGGCCACCAGGGGTGTGGGGGGTCTCCAGGTTGTGCAGACACAGCTGCAGGTCTCCCCTCAGGGCTGAGGGTACCTCCCTCTGGCCTTCCCCAGGGGGTTCCCACCTTTGTGATGTCCAGAGAGGGGCACAGAGTGGGCAGTTCCTCCATTAATGGTTAATGTTGTCTTTGCAGATTCCACAAACCTGCCCTCAATGACGCCATGGTCAGGGGGAGCCATGGTCAGGGAGAGCCATGGTCAGGGGAGCCATGGTCAGGGGGAGCCATGGTTGTGGGGCGTCATGGTCAGGGGGAGCCATGGTCAGGGGGAGCCATGGTCGGGGGGAGCCATGGTCGTGGGGAGCCATGGTCAGGGG